GCTTTATGAAGCAGGCACGCAAACGGTTATGTCATGACGCAAACGATGACGCAATGACGCAGCACCAGTCGGACGCTGGGCGGTGTGAAAAGAGCCGGAGCTAAACCGAAGAACCGGTTCTGAACCTGAAAAGCTCTAGCACGGAGCTTGAACCGGAGTTGCGTTGGTGTGCATGATGTAACAGTGTTCTCTGTGTTCTCTCTGTGTTCTCTCTGTGCTCTCTGTGTTCTCTCTGTGTTCTCTCTGTGTTCTCTCTGTGTTCTCTCTGTGTTCTCTGTGTTCTCTCTGTGTTCTCTGTGTTCTCTCTGTGTTCTCTCTGTGTTCTCTCTGTGCTCTCTGTGTTCTCTCTGTGTTCTCTCTGTGTTCTCTCTGTGTTCTCTGTGTTCTCTCTGTGTTCTCTGTGTTCTCTCTGTGTTCTCTCTGTGCTCTCTGTGTTCTCTCTGTGTTCTCTGTGTTCTCTCTGTGTTCTCTCTGTGTTCTCTCTGTGCTCTCTCTGTGCTCTCTGTGTTCTCTCTGTGTTCTCTGAAGGCTTCTCAATTCTCTAATTTCCCCTCCTCGACTCCTATCCTTGTGTCTTAGTCCCGCCCACAGGAGATGCGAGCGGAGGAGTCGAGGAGGGGAACCGAGGAGAGAGGAGGGGAAGCAGCAGGCGGTTAGAGAAATGAGAACTCCTCTCCTCTGAGCGGTCATTTTAAAGAGACGTCCATTAATGATGACAGGAGGCACAGCAGCCCTCTGTCTGATGGACAGATGTGTTCATGACGACTTATATATTTATGTTTAATTCATTCACAGTGCTTTATAATGAGACAATAACAGGCTACAGATGCGGACATATATACACACATATATGTATATAACTATATACAATTTCAGAATCAAACAAGTATGAGAGCACATAATTGTCAGGATCCGGGAAAATTAGGACTCAAATGCAGTTAAAAAAGAAGCTGGTTTCAAAACAAAAGCGAGCTTTAATCAAACAAAGCTGTTGACACTGAAAAAACTAGACGAAAACCGAGAATCATAAACAGGTAGCATGAGACAAGTGACAAACATGGAGAGTGAGAAAAATACAACGAACCAACATGGAGCCCAGGGGAAGACAAGACTAAATACACAGAAGGGTAATCACAGGACAAGACACAGCCGGGCAGGGGAGGCAGAAACACAAGGGCAACAGGTGAACACAATGAGACAATCAGACACCAGGGAAACTAACGACAGGAAGGCAAACACAGGAAGAAGGATCAGAGAAGACACAAGGAGGAAAACATTTCAAAATAAAAAGGTGGAAAAGAAAACAATCCAAAACCGTGACAATAATAACGTAACACAATCAGAGACTGGATATATCCCCCCCCCTCTCTCTGGTCGCTGAAATGGGGAATTGAAATTACGGGCCAAAAGTTGTATTTACAAGTATTAAAAGTAAGCATAGGACACCAAACCAACTGAGACCCGTCTGTCCGCCGCATCTACGCACTGTACAACACACACACCTACACACTGTACCACACACACCTACAGCTCCTAAAGCATAATCAGGCTACAGCCGTTGTGTATTTTATTCTGTGAAGCACTAAATGGTTTTAGAAAAATATTGACTCTTTGTTTGTAGATATCTACTAAACTACAGCATACAAATAACGAGAGTAATGTAGGCCTGTTATACTGAGTGATATATATTATACACACTGCTCTGCTTTCTGCACGGACCTCACAGCTGTTCTCACTGTAAACATCGCGATGAAAGCAGTTAATAAAATAATATCCAGGGGATGCATGCAGAGCTGTCATTGGCTGAGATAAGTCCGACCGTGCGTCACGACTCTTTGAAACATCTCTGTTGCTGGAAATACATCCACGAAGGAGCCGTGGAGGACCCATCAGTGTATCCTCGGTTATAGCTCCTCCAGAGAGCCTCCTCGATGCTCGGTCCTCGATGTGCATTTAGAGAAATGAGATGTCCTTCAACATGGCACGCTGAAATCCATTTCCGTGTCACTACCGGAGGACCGAGGAGTCGAGGAGTCGAGGAGGGGAAATTAGAGAATTGAGAAGCCTTCTCTGTGTTCTCTCTGTGTTCTCTGTGTTCTCTGTGTTCTCTGTGTTCTCTCTGTGTTCTCTCTGTGTTCTCTCTGTGTTCTCTGTGTTCTCTCTGTGTTCTCTGTGTTCTCTCTGTGTTCCTGTAAATTGAACCCACAGGCTGGAGGAGTCGTCGCTCTTCTTACTGTTGAACTTGATAAAAGCTCCGGTGTAAACGGGCCAGAACAATTCTCTGAAGACGAAGCACATTCCTGGACGTACATCAAGCTCTTTATCTTCCTAACATCTATTATGCAGCCTAATTTCATTTGCAGTGACAGAGTGGCGTTATGAACAAATCTCTCTGGCTTACAGAGCCTTGAGCTGCTTACAACCCGTCTGTGTACTTCCCAAGTCTTTTCATTGGGAAGAGGATTCAAATATAAATATCCTGGAGCCTGGCCAACTATATCCCCCCCCCCACCCCCCCCCCCCCCCCCCCCCTTCGCTGCAGCTCTATAGCCTCACACCTCGTCCCTGCAACTTTTCATTTGAATTATCGATGTCACTTTCAAAACAGAAGACGTTTCCTTCAGTTCAGATTCAACATTGTTCTGTTTGTGTTGTCTTTGTTCAGCCTCATTAAGCAGAGCAACATTATTTGCCGTTGTGATTTCTCCATCAGATCATTATTCTAGACCTCCAGGCTGTGAGGATGAGTGTTCATTTTGATATGCAGGAATCAGTGAGTCTCATCAGCCCCTGCTGTGAAAATGTCTCATGATGGGTTGTTCAAACAATGCCATGTATTCATTTTAAAGAGATTGCCGCTAAATAAATCTAATAATATAAATATAGAGGAGCCAACATCCACTTCCTAACCAGGTATGAACCAAACCACCTCAGTTCAAATAGGTTGAGTCTGTACAATTAATCTGAGGATAACTTACTAACACTTAACACTTAAAAAAGCCTAAAATAAGCACATAATCTTTACTAAAAATGTGTTATGACATTAATTTGTTTAGACTTTTACCAATCAGCAGTGAATGTTTAACCAGCCCACCCATGTTATTAAGCTGAGAAGGGGATACTAGAGGTAAGAAGTATTTTAAAACCAAATTACTTTATTTATAACCACTGGGTATAGTGGAACAAGTGTGTTAACAAAGCTGACATTGTGCCAGAGCAAAAGCAATACAGTTGAGAATTATACACAGGATACATATATCCCCTAATCACAGGCACTGTTTTAACCCCTCACTCTCCCCCATGTCTCTAAAATGTAAAACAGAAATAGGAACCCTGACCCATTGCTTCTGGTCATGCTGCAAACTTCAGAAATATTGGTCTGACATATTAGTTGAAATGGAGAAGATATTTCATAGACATTTAGATATGGACCCACTGTCTTTGATTTTAGGTCTACAAGTCAAATCACTACCTACTGCTGCGAACAGAAGATTATATAATGTCCTTACTTTTGCTGCTAGGAAAAATATTTTATTACAGTGGACTAAGGATCAGGTCCCATCTCTCAAAGGCTGGCGCAACATTATATTTGAGTTGGTTCCCCTGGAATATCTCACAAATGTTTTACATGCCAAATCTGATCAGTTCTATAAAATCTGGCAGCCTTACTTAGATTTCCTTGGACCTGAATTGTCGGCTATTATTGTTAAAGGAACCTCATGAATCTCCTGTCATCATAAATTCATCATCAATCATAAATGTGATACTCCTGTAACCACCTACATATGTGTATGTTTGAGACTGAGCTGGGTTTTTTTTCTTTGTTTTTTTTGTCATGTTTTGTCTTTTTGCTTTGTAATTATGTACTTGTCATGTATGTGCTACGTCATTATTGTATTGTGAAAATTGAAAAAATCAATAAATATATTGTTTAAAAAAATAAATAATTTAAAACAAAGCTGACATACAATATTCAATCTAACAAAATTGTTATTTTGAAACTGCTGTGGTAAAGCTAAAATAAATACATTAATAATGTGTGTTAAATTATGATGCACATTTGGTTGAGGTTATTAGGTAATCTCTGAAATCACTGCCTGGGTTTCATGCATACAGTATGGCTCACTTTCTCTCTTCCTCAGCTAATGGTGCTTTCAACACATTGTTTTCACTGTACTCTGGTGTACATCACACATACAGTATATAATCGTGGAAGTCTTTTCACACAAGCCACAATAGCTCCTTTCTAGCATGTAAAATAAAAAACCGTCTTCCATCAGATGTGGATGTTTTGAGTTACTAGAAACCTCCTCCATAAGATTTAAAGTAAAAAAACGTAAAAGATGTATTTGTCTTATTCAGCTCTTGGTTTTACATTGCATCGCTGAGACTGCATCCACTTTCACATACATGTCTTGAACAGTGGTTCTTTTGGTAGAAGCAGGCAAGCATTAAGCATACCAATACATCATGCAGTGTAGTTGGATTTTTGCAGTTAATAATACAGAAGCTTCAGATATAAAACTTTGCTTTCAACACCATTTTTTTATAGCCTTATCATTTTCTTTCTCCTGTTGTCACAGTGTGTTGGAGTGGGATTCCTGCAGAATTTGAATGAAATAATTAATAATAATCACTTTGACTGTACACTACCTCAAACCAGTTTGCTACTGCCTTTGAAGTGTATGTTGTATCAAATAAAATAAATGTATTAAAAAGGTGCCAAGTTGTGGCAACACAGAAAATGATTGTGTTTAACTTAATTAAATTGACATTGTTTGAATTGACACCACTAAATTATAAAAGCTAGAAAGCACCTTGATGGAGAACATCCAGAACTTTAAGTAAATCCATCCTCAGCTCTATTTGTGAGCTTCAAAATGAGTTGTATTTGTGTCTGTAGTTTAGCCTGAGGTGCTCTCTATGGTGCATACAGTCGCTCTCCACTGCACACTTCATGCCTATGGCAAGCCCACAATCACAGCATTCAGTCCTCTCACCACGGACACAGCGATGACAGCTTCATCTGGTAGCATGTTCCACTTTGATTGTTCTGGGAAATAATGAGTATTTCAGGGTGTCACTAAAAGCGGATACCCTCTGAAAGTTCAAGGAGTAAGCTTTGCAGGTCATACTTTTAACAGGCTCTAGGTATATTGATGCATCAAGGGCTGAGATGTTATGGACAATCTTGAAGAAGAGGACTAACCAAGACGATCGCCGCCTTTCACTCAATTCCAACTAATTTAACATTTCTGTGACACTGCTGTCCCACTTATAATCTCCAAAGGGGAATCCTGCACCTCTTTGTTGAACTGTTTCCAGAACATCCTTGTCTTTATCTGTGTAAGGGTCCCAGATGGAGTTGTCATACTCTAGTTTAGAGCGTACAAGGGTGCAGGGTCACCTCTTTTAACATCTGTCCACATAGAATGTAGATTTTTTACGTGTGGGTTTGTTGATCTGCTAGTGCGTAGTATGTAGCATTTACTAGCATTGAAGCACATTCCTTTAGTGTTAGCCCATTCCTGAAGCCTGGTCAGGTCACCCTGTAGGTCTTCTTGGTCAACTCCATTATCAATAGGCCTTTAGTGCAAGCTGTTATCCGGGGATAACTGCACTGTGGATGCCACATGTGACGGCAGGTTATTGATATAGCATAGGAAGAGCAATGGGCCCAGCACAGTGCCTTGTGGGGGTCAACGTGAATGGTACTTGATTTCAACCCTTCTACAACCACTTGTTGGCTACTTTGCATAAGAAAAGTGGTGGTCCAGGTAAATATTCGGCCGGATATACTCATGTGGGCAAATTTCTGTAACAGGCGCTTATGTGGGACCGTGAAATCAAGGATGGCCACATCGACTTGTATTTTCTGCTCATGATATTTTGCCTGGTCATGCATTGTGACCAAGAGTTGAGTTTCACTTGAATGGTTTGTGGAAATCCATGCTGGAACGGGGTGAGGATACTATGCTCTTCAGGTGATTCAGCAGGTGATTACAGATGTGTTCCAGGAGTTTAGAACATACACCGTCAGGGAAACTGGTCTGTAACTTGCGGCTGTGTGCCGGTCCCCTTTCTTGAAAACAGGCTTAAAGTTTTCCTGGAGCCAGTCATCGGGTAGATTTCCTGTTAGCAGTGACTGGGTGAAAATGCACTGAAGCAGTGGGCCGATTGGGGGGCCGGCATTTTGAGTAGACGATTGGGTAGACCGTCTGGGCCGCTAGCCTTGTCTTAAAATTGGCCAGTCATTGGGTCACTCCTTCATTGGTGATGATGATCACTTCTTCTGTGTGCGGGGCTGGATCTCCCGATATGGGGGGTTGGCTACCATCATCCTTGGTGAATACAGATTTTAATTGTTTGATGATTAGTTCTGCCTTGTCTTTGCTGCTACTGTAGAGGTCTCCACACTCTTTGACATGCTTCCAGAATGGTCTAGTGCTGTATTTTCCTTTTTTATTTGGCATTTCATGCAGTGAGTGAGCCAGGGCAGGTTGTGCGGTGTGGTAGTGAACTTGGTTGGGATATGCTTATCCATCTGGGAAAATAGTATGTATTGGAACCTGGGTCCCACTCACAGTGAGGAAAAAGCTATCTGATTGGCTAATGAAGAGGGAAGTGTTCATGCTGGCGCGTATGGTTAAACCATGTCCTGGATGTAGGAAGGGCCTGATCCATTTACAGCACTGGAGGCCAGTACCAGTGTCCTGAAGCGGAATCAGGCAGCCACTGGCAGCCATTGAAGGGACGAGTGGAGGAATATGCTAGTTTGAAACTACAGTTCCCATATATGAAGGGGTACAGGAGATGTAAAAGAAGTATACTGCCCAGAACTTTTACTAACCTATAACCTATATGTTGTCATCTTTTTACACATTAGAACCAAGCATGCAGAATTAGATATTAGCAGCTGCTGTTTGTTATGTACCCATGTATGTACAGAAAGTATGAGTCACGCTGAATCCAACAATATGTCTTCCTTTCTATGTTCAGATAGAAAGAAAGACATATTTGCGTCTCTCTGAGTCATAACAGTAGTTATAACCAGGGGTGCACATAACTGGTACGCAGGTACGCATGCGCGGCACAAATCTGAATTGCGTAACGTCACTTGTGTCACTACGCGCCTTTGCGTACCTCAAAACATCAAAATAAAAAACATATTTCGTCTACACGTGTTTCTTGTCAACACTCAATGGAGTAAACTACGAGACATGTAAAAAAAAACAAAGACATTAAGCAGCCACTTTGCAGTTTCGCTCCCTGCAAAAAATCTTCTGACTTTCTATGACTGATTGAACTGGGGCTGGGCGAGCCGCGCAGAACATAACCGACGCACCTGTGAAGCTTTACAGGAGGCAGAGGCTTAGATCACTGGACGACAGAGTTGTTCACCGTGTGCACAGACAGGGTTAACGTCGGTATGAACAACAGAATTTTGCCAAAACTCCGCCAACTGGCTGCAGTGGGAGACTCCCCTGTGCACATTCTGTGCCCCGCGCACACACTGGAGAACTGCGCAAAATCAGCTGATCACAACGTTCACGCTCTGTGGTCAAGCTGCTGCAGTTTTATTTACAACAAAGTGGAGTGAAACACACAGTTGCAAACTTACTCAGGGTGTTAATGGAAGAGTTTGAAATCAGACAGAGGTGGAAGCAGTGGCGTAGCCACCATAGGGCCAGGGTGGGCCCGGGCCCACCCAGTTTACTCATTGGCCCACCCTGAGAAAGCTTCGGTGTAATTTTTAATTTTTTAATTTTCTAATTTTGTTTTTATTTTATTTTTTTATTATTATTATAAAAAAATGTATTCACCCATTGAGAATATCCAAGCATTCAAAGTGAAATTCAAGTGAACAAATATCGAGTTGAATTAATGTTGTATGTGTTTTATCCTCTGAACCGAACTCATTTATGGTAAAAACTGGTTGTTGGTTCCGGCGCGCGCCATAGTAACGTGAGAGAGGCAGAGAGCTGCCTGCAGGGACGCGCTTTTCTGTAAAATGTGCAGACATTTCCCCAGCCCAGGAGCTGAAGGTGCATTTACGAGGGATGGATATGTAGACTGGAAGCACCTAACTCGTTGGAGAGACATAAAAAAAGCGAGGACCACTGCAAGTCCATGAGCAGGTTTGAATGCTACAACCTATTGTTGCTGTTACCTAGTGCAATACAAGAGTTACATAACGATTGTAAATAACCCAATTTGTGTTCTGTGAAACTGAAAAGGATATTACATTGTTTTTGTTACTTTCGTTGCAGTTGTAATATGTCTTAAATGTAATTTAGGTTAACTTCCTGTGTTATGCAGATGCTTTTATTTTGAAGGCGAGTTGACGCTGTTGACAGGAAGTTGTTGTTGCTATGGAAACAACTTGACGGAGAAAAGGAGCGGAGATTAATCTACATATAAAGACGGAGAAAGTAAAGGATAAAGTTTATGTTTAAGTTTAGCACCCCCCGAAGAGGCACAAGGTTGGTATTAACTATAATATAAACATGTAGGTTGTGTCCTAATTCGTTTGTATGCTGTTGTGTAGCTTTGCTGTCTGTTTACAGTTAACTTTTGGTAGTATGCTAAGTGATTCTAATATGGATGGAGCCTAAATGTATTTGTTATTTTTGTGTCTTTATAGCTCTTACGTTGATATTGGAGATTTCAATGAATTTATATCATCAGTCAGGTCTTCGACCATTATTCGGAGGGAAATGCTACAACGATGCTTGGCAATGGGCATTATTATATATTGTTATTATAGGCCAGGCCTAATTTAAAGTCATTTTTTCCCCCTGGAAAAAGCTGGCCCACCCTATTTTATACAGGCCCGCCCTAAAGTACATTTCTGCCTACGCTACTGGGTGGAAGAAGTACTCATATCTTGTGTAGGAATACTCTATTACAGTAAAAGTCCTGCATTCAAAATGTTACTCAAGTAAAATTAGAAAAGTATTATCAAAATCTAGTTAAAGTACCAAAAGTAAAAGTAGTCAGTGTGCAGATTGGTCCATTTCAGAATAATATATATGATATGTTTTATAATGATTGATCATTAAAGTGTTATCAAAGCTGGTAAAGGTGCAGCTAGTTTGAATAATAATAATAATACATTTTATTTATATAGCGCTTTTCACAACTCAAAGACGCTTTACAGTATGAGGGAGGGTAGACAAACAAGGACAGGCAAACAAATAAATATAGTAAAATAAAATAAACAAAAAAAGGCAGCCAAGAGGAAGTTGATTGAGAGGGGGGGGGGGCTTATGGGTAGACAGAGTTGAAAAGATGTGTTTTGAGGCGGGACTGAAAGACTGTGAGGGACTCAGAGTCACGAAGATCTTTGGGGAGGGAATTCCAGAGCCTAGGAGCTGCCACTGAGAAGGCTCTGTCCCCAAAGACTTGAATGTCCCCAAAGACTTGAGACTCTGAATGACTTTGTATACTGCAGGGTAGCTTGTGAATTTACTCCAGGTGGAACTAAAGTCTGATTTAAGACTTGATTATATTTCACATCATGAATCCAGATCTGTAAAGTAACTAAAGGTATTAAATACATGTAATGGAGTAAAAGTACACCATTTACCTCTGAACTGTAGTGGAGTAGAAGTACACAATAGCATCAAAGTCAAGTAAAGTACAAATATCTCAAAGTTGTACTTAAGTACAGTACTTGACTAGGTGTACTTAGTAACTTCCCACATCTGAAATCAGATATGACTTCAAGTCATGTGATAATTTCTTAGTATTTGATCCTTCAACTTGGCCTCAGGAAATGCAAGGACTTCACAGTTTTGGCAACAAGTTCTGGAGAAAGCAAATCGGTTGTAACAGTAGGTATGACTCAGAGAAGGTGCGTTACATTTGCAGACGTCATGTTTTTCCATGTGTCCAAATGTTATAAGAGTAGTTAATACAGAAAAAACAAATCACTAACACGTGTTATACTGCCTGTTAAATAGCAAGTATATTATGTGAGGGGAATACAATCCAATGTATTTCCTCTTGTACTACTCATTCAATAATGTTGTAA